AAGGTCACCGCTGAAAGACACTTTCAGCAGCCACTTTTAGAAGTTTCAATGTCGCCGCTGAAAGCTAGTTTCGGTGGTGACCTTATTGTCGCCGTTGAAAGAACTTTTATCGACGACAATGTGTCACCGCAAAAGTGACTTTCAGCGAAGACTTTTTTGTCGCTGCTGAAAGTGATGTCTAAGAAAAATTGTCTTTACTAATGTCACGTCATCACCATCGATGCCATGTTATTACTAGCCACCTCTATCTCATCGCTACTGGTTGCCACATCATCACCGATTAGATGTCACATCACCACTAGCCACCTCCATGTCATTGTTGGCCGCCTCCACGTCATTGCCACATCACCACTCTCATGCCATGTCACCCCTCCCTACCACGCCACCACCCAAATATTTTCACGTTAAATGTGTCTTCTTCAGGGTTCGAACTTGTGACCACCTCTTTTCGTGTCCAATCATCTAGCCGCTGGGCTAAATTAAACTTGTTTATTATTATTGTAAAATAAAATACATCTTATTAGAATATAGTTTCAGTAGTGAAAAAAAACACCAGCAAAAAGTCGACTTTCAACAGCGACAAAAAAAGTCACCGCGGAAAGTAGACCTTTAGCGGTAACAAAAAAGTCACCGCTAAAAGTATACCTTTCAACTGTGAAAAGAAAAACCGCAAAAAGTGGACTTTCAGTAGTGACAAAAAAAGTCACCACAAAAAGTGGATATTTAGCGGCGACACTAAAAAATCACCACTGAAAGTATACCTTTCAGCAGTAAAAAAAAATCACAAAAAGTGGACTTTCAATGGCGACAAAAAAAGTCACCGTAGAAAGTGGACTTTTAGCGGTAACAAAAATGTCACCGCTGAAAGTCTTACTTTTAGCAGCAACTTTTTATTGTTGCCATTGAAAATCCACTTTCAGCGGCGACTTTTTTAGTTGCCGCCAGAAGTTGTCGCCTAAAGTCTATTTTTTGTGGTGAATATTAGATCTCAGTTGATCATATCAAAAAGAAAAGATTAAAATTTTTATCATCTTTAATAATGGATGTTCTAGATATATTTTGCATCATTATCTTTAGTAATTGATGATTTATCTTATATGCATAGGACAAATCTACGCATTTCTCCCATGACTTTTTCAAGTACTCAATTGAAGGATCCAAGGAAATATTGATATCTTTTTCCAACTATTTTAGCTACGAAATCATCAATGACAACGTGATATACTTGCATCCCATACACAACCAAGGATTTAAGTTATAAATCACTAGCAACATTGGCCTTGCACTATGTGTACTACTACAATTACCACAAAGGTTGATTTCATTTGTATAGAGTCGAGGTTGGAGGATTCTTGGCTCACTACCAAATTTAGGAAACATTTAGTCTATGTCTTCTATTGAGGAAAATTAGTTGAGTGTCAAAGTTTTTCGTCACTTATTTTTTTATTGAAATGCCATCTATTTTTTGTTTCTGTAGCATTAGAATATTAAACTATAGTATTATTAAGATATCACAATACTTTCAATGGAAGCCCTTCGGATATATCATCACTTTCACCTCTTGGTTTATATCGTGAAGTGCCACATTTGGGACACTCATTTAGCTGTTAATACTCTTCCATGTATAGTATGCAATTATTTGGGTAAGTTTGTATCTTTTTATATCCTAAACCCATTAGGCGCGAGATTTTCTTAGCCTCATACATGTACATAGATACGTATTACTAGATATTTATGTTATAGTAGTGATAAAATATCACTATTATTTCCAATTTTACTTATCCTATGAATTATTAATGTATTATATTAAAGGCTCTGATGTTCGCAAGACTTAATAAGTAGTTGGGGTTTCGATTTCTATAAATCATTGTGCACGGAATAATTTTAAATGATCTACATTTTAGTCTTAGTATTTGAGAAAAATTTAGTCTCCATTACTTGCGCGCGCGCGTGTGAATTAATAGTTGTATTGTTTATGGAGTTGCAAACAATGTTATTTTTACATATTTCAGTGTTGTGCAATGCACAGACCCATAATTGGTAGAGGTGAGCATTCAGTTTTTTAGTTCGGTTTTCAATGATAATCGAATTAACCGAATAATCAAATAGAGCTAATTTTAAACATCGAACCAAAATCGATTAACCAAACTAATTGAAACTAAATTAACTGAAATATTTAGGTTTGGTTAACCAATTAACCAAAATATATAAATGTGAAAAGTCATTTTAAATAAAAATAATAATAAAACACAATTATAACCATTAATTAATAAATATTTCATTATTCAATGTGATTTATTACAATAATCTTTGTTATAACCATATTTATTGAATATAAATATATTTAAAGAGCTTAAATATACCTGCATATATATATTTATTATAATAATACCTATTAAATACAAAACTATAATATATTTATTTTGGTTTTTTGGTTGTAACCAAATTTTTTTTCCTTAATAACCGAACTGAATACTGAAAATCGAATTGTTAAAAAATAAAAACTGAATATGTAAGTAAAGACCAAAATAACCAAACTAAAAAACCAAAATTAGATTTAGTTCGGTTCAGTTTGGGTTATGGTTCAGTTTTACTCACCCCTAATAATTGGATTAACTTTTTCAACCATGACATCGGAGGCATTATAATACTATTTCTAGAGGTGTAAATATAAACAATGCGACTTCTATATATAAAAGCTATATGCAACGCACTTTTTTTTTTTTAAAGACTCGAAATCGAATAATTTTGGAACCATGACCCGAGGGAACGATAGATGCATTGGAATAGGGTTTGACCAATGAAAGGGACGTTGACAAGGCGTAGGCACAACTAGGGTCAGGGTTGTTTCCAGATCTCTCTGATATGACTTGTCTCTAAGTAAGGGCTCTATATACTTATGCTGAATCATCAAACAAACAAATTTATATCTCTTTGTCATCATCGTCGCCTGCTGGCTCTTCGTAAATTTTAATCCCATCGTCTTCCTTCTCACTATTCATTCACATCCACCATTTTCATATTCATATATATGTAGACATGATGTCATGCAATTAAATTGGAAAGAAACAATACCTTAAATATTCTACTTTCATCTGATATATAGTCGATGTGGTCTCCACAAATGAATACAAAATACCTCTTCCCAATTACTTATGATGCTTCGTGTGTGCTTGGTGTGATTAGACTTTTTTGTTTTTATTTTTATTTATCTAGCTATTTGTATGTTTGTTTCTTAGGCCCGCCAACGAAAATGAGACTTGTGATGCCAGCGTGATACATGAGGGTGGTAATTCGGGGAAAATCACGGTGATGTTCATGAAAGCAGTGTTGTTTTTTAAATGGATTTAATGACAGTGTTGTTCAGTCACTCTTTTGACAGTGATAAATTCGAAGAATGCCAAGGTGCAAGTGGGGTTTGGTTCATGAGGTTAACAATGACTTATTGGGAAATGTTTCACAAAGAGCTACACGCGCGCGCGCGCGCGCACTAAATATCCATCTTTTCTTTTTTTTTAATAAAAACATAAAGAATGGTAGTTTCGAGATCCGTTAATCAGAGTCTATTCTGCACCAACTAAATATCCTAAACTTTGTTATGAACTCAACAAGTTTCTTTTGGGCAATTCATCAAACACCTATTCTGCGTGTTTTCGGAGTTGGCATTGATCCCTATAACATTGCTATATACTGTGATTGGTGTTGGTAAACGTGTGTGTGAGAGAGTACTCACCACAGGACGTGTGGAAGAACGGGCAATGGTGATCAATCAACGACCTACTCATGAACGGAGCTATATTCCAGTGTCATCCTGTGCATGCTCAAGGACAAACCTAAGCGAAAATTTCAATATGAATACTTTGGAGAAAAATTATAAATTTAAAAAACAAAATGAATTCATACTTTATATTTAGGACTAAAACAAAACTCTTTCAAGCTCTTATATTCAAAACCAAAAGTATATTACTTTTTTTCTTGGGAACTAGCAGAAGTCCTTTATTGAAAATTTTGCTGGTGATAAGAACCTAAATTAAAGTATCAGTATTAGGCGTGTGCAAAATTTTGTAGAATACTAATACTTTTTTTTTGCATAAAAATTTATTAGGCCCTTCTCACTAATAAAATTTTTAATGGGATACATTTCTCTATTTTTTTTCTTTTTGTTTCAGGAATTTTCTCACATATTTCTCACTAATAAATATTCTCGCCGAAAATATCCCGTGACAAATTTATTTCCGTCATAAATGCCCTGCCAAATTACAAGCGAAGTTCTCTGGGACTAATTTTGCCAAAAACTTTTTTGGGAATACTTTATGATGTCCAAAACTGTAATCTCTTCATTTTTTTTAAAAAAAAAAAACCCAACACTATATCACTTGATATTCTCGATATTGAGATCATTTATATAATTAAAAAAATTATCTCAAATCTTTTCTCTCTTCGATGGATTAGTCCCCAATATCAGGTGTTAAAAAGATTTAAATATCCTTATATTAAAATTCCATACGAAATTGATATTATTCGAGCAATATCATGTGGTGAAGACATAGAGGTGGCAATTATTGTCGACATCGACTGTTCTCATCAGTCTGATTATTCATACTCATAAGCCATCTTATTACAACCATACCAACCCATTTATTTATAGACTAAGGCACCAATGCCTCCTGAGCCTTTTGTAACAACCCCTTACATGCTTCTAATAGCAACTACCATCATAACCAGCTTCTTTTATTCATTACATCTCCATATCATTGACACTTCATTACTGGAATCAAACACTACCCAAGGCGGACTTCTGACGAAGATGGTGCCTGAAGATTATTACAAGACATGTGAATGGACTTCTGAATGAAAATTTGACTGCGTCCAACCTTTTAGGGGAAAACAAATCAGTAAGACTCATTTGCTTTGGGTAAAAATTCAGAATCAAAACCCTATTGATATAATAAAAATAAGTGTTGGTAATTGGAACATTTGGAAAATTGATTACTTACTTACAGATGACAAAGGTTAAGTAGCCGCAAATATGGAAGGAGGTTTAATTGCAATCGGAAAGTGCCTTCCCATCCTGGTTGACACAAAGACGAATCTCAAGAAGCAGACGTTGAACTATGATTGCAATTGGATTCTTATGACCCGTGATACTCTCAACAGCTTTTTGTATGTCTGCCTTCCCACGTAGAGTACTTCCATCTTTTTTTATTACTGAAACAAATTAAATGAAACCCAATTACGTAATTGTCAACAATAAAATAGTCATTAATTCCGTGCATCTCCTCTACCAATTTCCCCTTACTTCCTCTGTTAATAAGTCCATCAAAGATGCCTTTAGCATTTTTTTTGGCAAGATCAATAGTGATTCGGAGATACTGTTGTCGGTTGAACTCGTTTGAAGAGCATGTTCCGTGCTTGTTCCACTCCATTTTCCAAAAAACCTTGCTGCTTTGGAAGTTTTGAGCAGAAAACAAATCCGGCCAGTAATCAAGCAGATCTTGCTCGAATGCTTCAAACTGCATTGACTCACACACACACACATATGCATTTATTGGGAAGAGGAAGAAAGTAATATATGAAATATTTATTTAAATATATCAATAACATGCGTGAGTTAAAGAGAGTTTACATCAGCATCTTGCATGGTCGTCGCTGGTGAACAATCTAATGGAGGATTCGCATTATTCAATTGAGGCCAAAGTCCATGAATGGTGAACTTGTTTTGGTGTTTGGAAAGTGGAGGATCTGGATTGCACTTTCTCTGCTCAGCTTGTTGAAGTTTGCAGAAAGCGGCAGGTAATTGCAAGGCCAACAAGAAGTAATCGTATCCTGGTTTGGTATTGGCGGCACTAATAATAGGCTCGTCTATATTATTATTGGTGTTGTTTGGAGCCCAAAACAGGTTTGTATCTCGGGCGTTGAGAGGATACAAACATAAGGCCGCACCAAATATCAAAACTAGTTTTAAGCTACTCATCGTCATGATTGATTATTGCCCTTTCGTGTGCTAGCTAGGGTTATATATATATAGCCATCTTCAACATCATGTGGCTGGCAATTTTTAATTATATTTTTTCTTGAACAAAAATCTAGATGTAATATAATATTGCGCAAGAGCTTAATACTGCTGTGGTCTTATTATAAGTTATTAATAATGAAATTACGTATAGATCAAAATGTTAGTTAAAATTAATTAAATGCATGTTTAGGAAATATGTTACTTTTCAAATGTTTGGAGAAGTTGAGTAAGAGAAAGAAGAAGTGGAATATTCCTCTAATTTTATTTATAAGTCATTTCTAGCATATTTTATCTAAGAAAAAAAAACTTTAGACCTCATTAACTCTGCTTTAAAATTGTAACAACTTTTTAATTTTATTCCCATTTAATATATATACACACACTTTCTAGTAAAATAACAATCTACACAGTAAGAAATGAATGCTAAAATAGTACATTTGTTTTACAAATCTAATGGTGTGACTTAAAAATAGAATAAAATTTTTTTTGACTCTCTACCTTATAAATAGGATTAGAGAAGTATGCGAGAAATATGTCATTATTTGGGGTAAAAATAAAAAAAATTGAACTAAATTTTCAGACAAGTATAAAGTGTAACTTACAAAAAAAAAAAAAGATCATATCCAAAAAATTGTAACTTATATATAGAACCAGAGAGAGCATTAAACCAACAAGAATTGAACTAACTTATAATGATCAGGACTCTCATGTCTTTATTAACAAAGAAGACATAGAGACGAGATCTCTTCATGTATTTAATAATTAAACCATTAATAGTGACCAAGTGTCAAATCAAAACCCCTGATTTGTGATGGATATTAGAAGCCATTTCCTAAAAATGCTGTGATTTTTTTTTTTTAAAAAAAGAAATGACGTTAAGTAAGAACACCTCTACTTTTCAGTATTAGATGTCGTTTCTACTTTATGAGATTATTCTATGGTGTCTAAGGATGTGGACGCCATTAATTTGACCTCAACTAATTTAACAAAAAATGTTGACTCTATAGTTAAATGTTGACAAAATATGGACTAAATTTTAATTTTTTTAATATAATTGTTTTTACATTTTAAAATATAAGTATTTAAAGAATTAGATATTTGATAAAATATTTAAAATTTAATCATTTACAAAAAAATTGTTATATTAAAGAATTAATTTAGAGCATGCTTTGTAAGTATTTAATTGCAGAGTCACAATTCAAATTTGCTAAGTCAATATTTTCTGTTAAACGGGACTAACATTATTAAAATTAAAAGATTAAAAATACACTTTTTTTAACTTAAGGGACTAAACTAAAATTTGATGTAAACCTAGGGAATCAAACGTATATTTTAGCCTAAAATTAAATATTGAATAAATAGTAATGTGATAATTTTATAAAATGTAATAATTTTTAGGAGTGAAATAGAATTGTATAAGTAATTACAAATAAATATCTATAACGAAAAAAAATAAATAACTTGCTTTTTTGTAATTAGATAATAGAAATTAAAAACATGTTTATATGGGGAAAAAAAAGGCTAAGATACAAGTTTGTCTTGAAAGTTTTCACTCAAAAGTTTTGGGTATGTGAAATTTTTTGGATTTAATGTTGTCCTTGAAGTTTAAAATTGTAGTAATTTTATCCTTTACTAGTAAAAAACTAATATTGATCATTAAAATATTAACATTAATTATTAACATTTTTAAAAGTCGAGGGTAAAATTTCTATGATTTTAAACTTTCAAAGCAAGATTGAACCCAAAAAACCTTTCTAGTGCTCCATGCTCTTGAGTTGAAACTTTCAAGATAAATTCGCACTTTAGTCTTCTAAGCACCCATGCTTTGTCAATGTCCATGTACCCTCTCCCTCATGTCATGGTTAAAAAATTGTTCGATTCGGAATCTCAACATTCCACAGAATTTTAATGGTCTCTATTAAACCCTATTCTAATTTTAACACTCGTGTCCCAGTTACTAGAACATTTGATCTCTATTAATTATGTAGGATTAATGAAGTACATCATGTGTCACATTGGTATAACATCAGTAAGTCTCATTTTCGTTGGCAGGCCGAAGAAACCAAAAAAAAAAAAAGGTAAATAAATAAAAACAAAAACAAAAACAAAATAGGTTTCATCCCCACTACGTACGCACGAAGCATCATATTTTAAATAATGGTGGGGGCTACCATTAATTGTAAAATATTTTACAAGTAAAAATAAACCAATTTAATGGAAAATTTTGTGATATTGGGGGAGCGATCCCCCCCCCCCCAATGTGTTTGAAATAAAATAACTGTTATTTACATTTTTAATACGGATACCAAATTCGAAAGTAAAACAAATGATTTATATAATATAAAGAACAATTTATTACTTCAAGATTGTAATCCCAGATAAATTAAAATGTTTTATATATATATAATCCTATATTCATTAACCATGATGCCATATGATTAAATTGGAAAGAAATAATCCTTTAAATATTCTGCTTTAATATCTGATATCGACTCGATGTCGTCTCCACATATAAACACAAAAGATGTAGGCCCCCATCCCCAATTATTTATGATGTTTCGTGCATAAGTGGGGATGAAACCTTTTCTGTTTTTGTTTTTATTTATTGACCAATTTGTTTTTCTTGTTTGTTTGGCCTGCCAACGGAAATGAGACTTGTTAATTTTATACCAATGTGATACATGATGTGCTCCACTAATCCTACTTAATTAATAGAGATCAAATGTAACAAGTAACTTGTTTATTTTAGAATTTATTCCCTGAGTTATACTTAAATAATGTTGGGGGGCTAACATTAATTGTAACATATTTTACAAATAAAAATAAACCAATTTTAATGGAGAATTTTGTGATATGGGGGGAGTGATTCCCCTCCCCCCTCCCAATCTGTTTCCAATGTTAGAATTTGTTCTTTATATTATAGAAATCATTTGTTTTACTTTCGAATTTGCTATCCGCATTAAAGATGTAAATGACAAATATTTTATTTCCAAACAAATTATTCTAAAATATACTGCTCCTTAAATTATATAGTTTCTTGTTATATTCTCATACAAATTACTTTATAATTAATTTGTTACCCACACATATTCGAAATATAAAAAGCAATTTATTATTTCAAGGTTGCAATCCCAGATAAATTAACATGTCCACGCGATTTACCCCCCCCCCCCAACCCACACACACACAAGACAGATTTAGATATCAACATGTGAAACATAGACCCCAGAGCCATCTGTTGCTCAGCTTATAAAATATTGTGAGTGCATATGTATACGAATTTACAATCTTAATCTAGAAATACGTTTGCATGGATTCCTTTTGGGGTCTACAATATTTGGGAGTCGTGTGATGGGAGATAAGTAGAGAAAGAAAGTTTAATTTTTTGAAAAGTTACCAAATCCATGTTCTTTAGGTCATTAAGGATCTTAACTTTCCAAAAAAATTAAAATAAGACTCGCACTTTTCTCACAGTTACGAAAGTAACTTATCCAATAATACCTACCTAAGTTCTAGTTTCTTAATATTTTCTCTTTCAAATCAAAGAATAATACATATTTTTACTACTAATGGTCGTTTCAGTTTAGAGGAAAGACTTCTAATAGAATGGAGATTTATATGAGTTGAGATAGGAAATAGAATGTCCATACATTTATATGAACTGAAAATATTTAAGTATTAAAAGATTTAATAGTACCTTACTCTTGAAATGTTTCAAATGAATGAGTGATAAAAAAGGATAAATTAGCCTTTTGTCCATAAAAGTTAATTCTCTAATCCTATTTATAGAGCACAGAGAGAAGACATTTTTTGTCTTATTTATAAGGTATTGAGAAATTTTTTGTATGAATTTACAATTTTACCCTTCATTTATTATTGTGTTGACTTTGTTTATATGAAGTATAATATATATTAAATAAAAATAAAGTTAAAAAGTTGTTGAATTTTAAATGAGAGTTAATAAAATTTAAGGTTTTTTTTTTGTCTGGGTAAAACATATTTGAAGTGACTTATGAATGGGACTAGAGTACTTTGTATTTTTACGTGGATGAAAACAATTGGCCTATGTACACACAATAGCATCCATATGTATAGGAAGCCTTTCAATTTTATCAGAACGTGATGTTTTTAGATGTTTTAGTTTCTATTTCCACGTCATATATAGATTACAATAGTAATTTACTTATTTGCTGCCAGCCACCATTGAAACATCCTTTCTTAAACCCCCTTTAGTATGTATTTGGAAGCGTTACGGCTCAAGCAATTCACGAAACAAACCCGGAGATTAAAAATTTGCATACTAGTTCTCAAGTTACTATTCATTGGGAAATTCCAGATTTTTAGTCTAACTTTGAAAATTCATAACTAATTATAAAAAAATTATATTGAGGTGACCCAAAATTCTATTTGAAGCTCTTCGAATTCTTTACAAAGGGAAAAAATATAAATCTGGCCTTAACCCTTGCCAATTCATGCAGTTTATTGTGTGAACTTTACTATTTATTTAGTAAAAGCTGTACTTTCCAGTTTCTCTGCTTGAATTTTGATCAAGCATAACTCTTAGCACATACATCCAATTTAAGGGATTTACACCACTTGTTTCAGAGCTTAGGATTTGTACTTTAATCATGCCAAATTTTATAGGTAGATTCAACCATTTGCTTTACTTTCACTCCGTAACAAATCATGTTTCCTTTAGGGACAAACTATCCCTCTTACTTATATTAACAATTCATAATTAATCCTTTTCAAGCATAATACATTTATATGAACTGAGATGGGAAATAGAATGGCCATACATCTATATGAATTGAAAATATTTAAGTATTAAAAGACTATATAGTCCCTCACTCTTGAAAACTTTCAAATGAATGAGTGATAAATAAGGATATATTAGTCTTTTTGTCCATAAAAGTTACTTCGTATTTTTATGTGGATGAAAACAATTGGCCTGCGTACACACA